GTTTCCACAATGCTGATCTTAGATTACAAAGATGATTCAGAAATCACTTCTGGAGTTGGAGCTATGTTTCTAATACAGGTAATGACTTTTCACAGATTCATTGGTTGGGGGTGGGGGGGGTGCTTCTCAAATAAGGTGTGCCAATTCAAGATGGGGGGTGTGCTCCAGCTCCACCTGTGCCCAGGCTGGGGGAACACCCTGAGGGACTGGACAAGAACAGAATTAGCTGGCCCAAATTAGGGATTAAGACCAGGGCCTTGGTCTCATCAGTACTGGTGCTCTGCATCTGGGCTGCCTTTCTGGAAGAACGTGGCCTTTCTCAGCTTTCACTTGAGGCCCCTGTGGTCTGGTCACTGATGTTACAGACAAAAGAGGCCTTGAGGCCAACCCAGGATGAGGCAGAACGGCGTTTCAGACCTTTCCTGCCCAGCGTCTGTCTGCCAGGTTCCCCAGGGCCTCCTCCCTCTGTCTCAACGACCCAGGGAAGGCCCACCACTCCCTTGGATTTGTCATGAAGATTCAACTATTTCCTGGGGTCAATGACCACATACACATACACTTGCCCTTAATTTAGAGCTTCTGAGAATCTACCACCAAAGAAGCCCCTACATGACGAGGACTTCTCCCCCAAAGCCAAAACTTCTTTGACGTCTCCATGCTTTGGCTTAAAATGCATGTGAATTTTGCATTCTGACCCAGACGTCCCCATTTGTTTTACTAGAATTTTTTCCTCCCAAATCTTGTAGTAAAATCATCCCTCCAGAAACAGGCACCACATTGATTCCATGGTGTGGAGCTGCTTCAGAGGCCTGCAAACCTTATTGGAAGAGCTTAGCCTTAATCCATCTGACTCCAAATCCTACTCTGGCTGGGATTCAGGGCAGCTGGGGCAAGTATTGGAGCCCAGGTGGCACACTGGTTAAGAGCTCGGCTGCTAACCAAAAAGTCAGCAGTTCGAATCCACCAGCGGCTCCTTGGAAACACTATGGGGCAGATCTACTCTATTCTATAGGGTCGCTATGAGTCAGAATAGACTCGACGGAAACAGGTTTGGTTTGGTTTGGGTTTGGAGCAAGTCCTATCCACGCCCTCGTGAGACCACCTGGCTGAGGCAGCAGATACGCCATTCTGGCAGGACATCTGAACCCACTCCATCTCTTGGTGCAAAAAAGCAGGGCTTGGGGTTGGTGGTGGCCTCAGAGGTCATGGAGGGCTCATACACTCCGCTGCGCAGACCCATGCCAACTGCCTTAGAACTGATGATGTGAGCAGTCATCAACCTCAAGTCACTCTCATTACAGACCATCATTTGCCCCTGACCCAGAACCTCATGATTCTCTAGAGGTCCAGACCCTGTGGGATTCGCTCATTTGGCTCTCACGGTGTTATTCTTTTCCTCTTAAACTAGTTGCCAATATTAAAAAATTCAACAATCAGAGGATTTACAAAAAAGATCAGATGTCTAGCTTCTCCTGAAAAAAAGAAAAAAATCAGATCATCTAGCAGCCCTGGGCCTGCCCTCCATGGGGCACTGCAGCTATCCCCTCCAGAGAGGGTGCATGCTCTGCACTTCACCACAGTCCCCACTACTCCCTGTTGTCTCACAACACTCATCCCAGTCCCCTTCACTCCTTCCCATGCTCTCCCGGCCCCTGTAAGCCTGAGACGGGCCACCCCTGATCTAGTCTAACAGCTACCAGCACAAGAGGGAAGCGGAAGCCCAGGTCACAGAACTAGTTAGTTAAACCTGAACTAAACGGCAATTTGGTTTGAATTTCACAAAGACCATCTCAGTTTCAGAAAAACGTCAACACATTTCTACTCCAGCTTTTCTCAAGGGAGAGAAGGGAGTTGGGAGAAGAGAAAATATTGTCCTAGCTCAGCCTGAAAGACTGCATTTAAAATATCCGATATCTTCCTATTCCAACTCCAGAAAGCTCATGGACTATTGGCTGATATGGATCGGAGGAGACTTTGAAGGGGTACAGAAGCTGGTTCTTTGCAGTGCTTGCCCAGTCGTGAGACCCCCTTGCCAAGGCAGGAAAAAGGCTTCCGTTCCGGCATTTTCCAGGACATGTTCCCAGATGTCCCCTGCCCCACCCCCCACCATTCCAACTGCTCTACATTCACCTGGGGGCGGCAGTGGGACATCTAGGAACCTGAAGACAGACAGACAGGACAGTGGGGCCCAGTTTATAACTAAAGCCAACCCCTGCCTGCAGGGACAGCCACCTAATCGCCTCCCAGAGACAGCTGTGAGGCCGGAGCTGGGCCTGGCGCAATGACCTGTTTGTTTTTGGGAAACCGTTGGTGTCGGTTGAGTCAGATTAATAAACACCTTTAGGGTTTCCTCTGACAACGTTCTCCACAGAGGGGCACTTTGAACTTTTAGGTCAGTGTGAGAATCATTAACGACACTGCCCTACCCCCACCCCTGCCAGCTCAACCACCACCAACTTGACAATGAGCTTGAGCATCAGAGAGGCTGTTTGCTGGTGTCGTTAACAGAGCAAGACAAAAGTGCCCCAGTTCCTGCCTTAGAAATTCCAAGTCCCCTCCTCAGAGGCCCCCCATACCCCCTCAAGGCTGTGCTGCCCTGTGTCAACTACTTCCCCATTTCTCTCTCCCACAGTCGCCCTGGAAAATAGCACTTCCTGACAGATCTGAACTGTTTGTATGTTAAGTGCCCCCACGAGAGCTTAAAAATCATGAAAGCAGAGCCTCATCTGAATTTCTCGCAGACTTGCTATCCCCTGCACCTCAGACACTGATTGCCACTTAGTAGGTGCTCCACAAATCCATTTGTTGGGGGAATGAACAGGCAAATCAACTGCAGTCCGCTCTCGGGGAGGCCACAGCATCAGGGCCGCGCCCTCAGCCACAGAGGTGGGCTGACAAAGTGCCAAACGGAACCCCCAGCCACAAAACACAACGTGGGGGCGGGGCACACCCTGCAGCCTTCCCTGCTCCACAACCCAGTCCACGGCAGGCACCCCCCCAAATCAGAGGGTCTCCCCCAAGTGACACCGGCTGCTCACGGTCCACTGTGCTGTGGGGAGCTGATGATACCCAGGTCCAGACTGATGTTGAGACAGGGACACTTGCAGATATTTCAAAAGCCAGAATGTTACAGTATTTTCCCAACCTCCTCCAGTAAGAAGAAGCTCCCTTGTACCCAGTCACAAAAGCATCCAGAAGAGGGTCCCAGACACCTTCCCACCCAGGGACCTCGTGTCCTCTGCCATTCCACGAGTCACCAACACGGGCACGACACTGTTGTTCAGGACTGAGGGCAGGTTTTGGGGGTTTGGGACACTATTCTCTATGCTTGTGCATATTTTACAATAAGAATGAATAGAAGTCAGTCACGTACCAGGTAAATGTACATTCAAACACTGAAAGGAGTAAATGAAACCTAAGAGTCACCTCCACCCCCACCCCTTGTCTTGTTCCCAAGAGCTGCCCCTACTAACAGTTTTCTTCATCCCTTTGGGAAGTAGTTTGAGCGCACCAAAAAAAAAAAAACCAAACCCATTGCTGTCGAGTCTAACTCATAGTGACTCTACAGGACAGAGTAGAATTGCTCCATAGCGTTTCCAAGGAGCAGCTGGTGGATTCGAACTGCCAACCTTTTGGTTAGCAGCCGTAGCACTTAACCACTGCACCACCAGAAGTTTGTGCATAGACAAAAACATATGTACAAATCCTTTAAACACACACATACACACAGGATACGCTGTACTGCGCCTTTCTCTTCCCCACTTAATACCTCAGAGACCTTTCCTAAGGAGCAAATACAGACCTACTCAGAAATGAATTTATCCAAAGCTCACAGTCAGAAACCCTTCTCCTGACCTGTCTTTATTGAGTGCTCTCGTGGGCAGACCCCACAGAGAAGGTGATCACGCCATTGCTGCATGTCCGTGACCACCAGGGGCTGGGCGCGCCACGGCCTTGTGGCTCTTGCACAAACACTGGGTTTAGTGTGCTTGTTTTTCCCTACAGTTTCCCGAGTAGCCTCTGGGCTCCCTAAGCCTTCCGACGGTGAGGCTGACACACTGGGAGCACCCATCACCAACTTCCGGCAGAGCATCTGACACCCATCTCCCCCAACACCTGGAATCCCCAGGAGGCCTGGGAGGGAATCACAGCTGTGAACAGGAAGACTCAGGCCCCTTCCCTGCCGACAGACAGATGTTTATGGCTTCTGGGTCCCTGCGAGAGCTCAGCATCTCTTCCCAAGGCTCCAGCAGGCATGTTTCTCACTCACGCAGGCAGCAGGCATGGTGCCCATTTCAACTACACAAAAGGTGGCAGGGGGCTGAGAAGTTACCCCTAGAACTCTGAAGGAAGAATAAACTGCGCTCCTTGTACACAATTGGAAGCTGAGCAACGCTCTTTTACTGCATTTAGGGAGGGTGTGGAGGTGGGTGTTTACAACTGCCTCTAGCACAGGTAAGAGTAAGGCTTCACCAGGCTCTGTGCTGGGGAAGTAAGTAACTATTTCACCACCAGAGTACAATGATGAAGGCCCAAGATCACAGAGCTGTACTGCACCCCGCTCGTCAGAAGGTGGACACGGCAATAATAAGGCCCTGTCTCTCCTTTCTGCCTTCCTTTTCTTTATACAGTCAGCAAACAGTTACCGGGCAGCACGAGGCACAGTGCTGGGCAGGCGAGAAAACAACCAGTCCCACAAAAAAAGCAGTGAAAACAAGCACGAAGGCAATAACTGGACTTCCAGTCACAATAGCTGACTTCATCGAGGCCAGCTGCCCATGGCCCCAGCCCCGGCCCCCATCAAACACACAAGCAGTCTGGGTAAAATATTTGTTTTTAACATAACCAAGCTCAAGGTGAAAAAGGTGCTGCTGCAGGTGCCAGAAATGGGGAGAAAACAAAAAGTAAAACAGAGCCAGAGAGGAAGCTGGACAGGCCTGGGGATTTAGAGAAGAGGCTGACACGCCTCAGGAGAGGAGGTGGGGCCAGAAGACACCTACTTCAGAAGGTTTTCTGCTCCGCTTCTCATCCGAACAGCTTTCAGGATCTGCTGGTTCAAGGCTGCCCTTTGATTCTGCAGTTTGCTCCGGCCGGTTTGCGCAAGGGGATTACAACCCTGAGAGAAAATAAGAGAAGCTTCTTCAGAGGTCAGCCACTCTAAAAACGATAACAATATTCAATATAACAGAAAACGTTTACCTTATTAAAAAAAAACCTAAACTTTTATGAAAATAGCAATGTCAATATAGTAACTGTACAAAATATTAAAAAGCATAAAAAAGAAAATAAACGTCATTCATAACAACACAATTCCAAAACAGCCGCTGTGAATTGGTTTCCTTCCTTCTCGGCTATTTAATATGCAATGGGTGGCCGTGTCTGGGTCCCCAAGACCAGCTCCGTGTTCCGAGAGTCACTAGAAGGACCACAGGACTCAGCACAGAGCTGCACCCACGGTTAAGATTTATACAGAAGCTTACAGAGCTGGATCCTAAGGGGAAAAGGCCCAGGCAGACTCCAGAGGAATCCATGTGCAGGCTTCCTTATGCAATCACCTTCCCATAAAGGGCTCACACAGAGCACACTCTTCCCCCAGCAACAAAAACGCAACAATGTGTGTGCGATGTCTCTGCCCTGGTCAGTGCATCAGAGAATCAGTGTCCAGGGATTTTAGTGGGGGCTAGTCACGACGGCACCCTTACCAAAGCCCCAGACTCCTAGAAGGAAGGCAGGCATTCTGCATAAACCACACTGTTTGCACAGCCGAGACACAGTGAACCCTCCTTGTCAGGTAGGATATAGTGGGAACACTCCAAGAGCCAAGCTCCCAGAGGCCAGGTCAGGGCCAGCCTTGCAAACAGGACTTTCTTGAGGATAGCAGCCTCGGGCCAGCTATGGTAACCCTTTTCTGCACAGTGGTACAGAGTTTATTATCATGCTTCTTCACTTAATGCTCTGTCATGAAGATTTCCTTTATTATGAAATGTTCCTCAAAAACATGATTTTAATGATTGCATAACACTGCCTTTTTTAGAATTTACCACTTCCTTGAGGTTGGATGTTTAGATTATTTCCAAGTATCTGCTATCATATATAATAATTTGATGCACACTTGTGAACAAGAATCTTTATAAACCTTGAGTTTCTTCTTTAGGGTATATTTGCAGGGCAGAGTTACGGGGTCAAACCTCTTTAAGGTTGCTAGGGCACCAGCCCAGTTATCTTCCAGGAAAGAAGGCATACAAACGTACCCCCTGTGTTCTACCTCCTTCACCGTTACTGGGTCTAAGTCTCCTTTTTTTAAAGGAACAGTTTTATGGAGATATAATTCACATTCCATTAAATTCACCTGTTCGAAGTGTACAATTCGGTGGGTTTTACTGTATTCACAGAGTTGTACAGCCATCATCACTTACAGATTTTAGAACATCTTCATCACTCCATAAAGAAACTGCTTAGCCATTAGCAGTCACTCCCCACTCTCCCATCCCCTCAGCCCCTAGCAACCACAAATCTACTTGCTGTCTCTAGGGATTTGCCTACTCTGGATATTTCATATAAATGGAAACGTATAATATGCGTGGTCTTTTGTGATGGGTTTCTTTCATTTAGCATAATACTTTCAAAGTTCATCCATGCTGTTACATATATCGGTACTTCATTTCTTTTTATCACCACATAATGTGCCATTTATGGATCAGCCGTATTTTGTTGATCAGTCCCTCAGCTGACGTGTATCTGGTGTTTCTTCACTTCTTGGCTATTATGAATAATGTTGCTATTCAACGTTTATTGTGTACCAGTTTTCGCATGGACGTATGCTTTCATTTCTCTTGAGTATATACCTAGGAGTGGAATTGCTGGCTCATGTGATTAACTCCGGGGAGCCCTGGTGGTGTAATAGTTAAGTGCTCAGTGGTTAGCACCCACCAACTGCACTATGGGAGAAAAGGCCTGGCGACCTGCTCCTGTGAAGATGACAGCCTAGGAAACCCTACGGGGCAGTTCTACTCTGTCCTGTAGGGTCACTAGGAGTCAGAATTGACTCGACAGCACCCAGCTACAACAACAACATGGTTAACGCTAGCTCTAACCTTCTGAGGAACTGCCAGACAATTTTCTGAAGCCAGCTGCACTGTTCTACGTTTCCGCCAGCAGTGTATAAGGGTTCCAAATTCTCCACATCCTCACCGATGCTTGTTACTGCCTGTCTTTGTTATTACCGCCATCCTGGTTGTTGTGAAGTGGCATTTCCCTGTGGTTTTGATTTGTATTTCTCTGACGGTTCATGATGTTGAACATCTTTTCACGTGCTCAGCGGGCAATTTTTCTCAGTTAATTCTAATCCCAAGCATCCTAAATTTATCTTCTCTGGAGAAATGTCTATTCAGATCCTTTGGCCATTTTTTAGTTGGCTTATCTTTCTATTGTTGAGTTTTATTCTTTACCAGTTGCATATGTATAACAGGCATCCCGTTCTTCAATTTGTATTCTTTTTATTAGTGAAGGTAAACACTTCTTCATGTATCACTTGAATTTCTTTTTCAGCTAATTGTCTAAGCTCCCCTCCCGTTATTTCCTGGGGTATTTGGAGTACAATGTTTCATTCGGAAAAGTTTAAGCGCAGAATCAATGTTTCTTCTTAACTTCCTGGTGTTCTTCCCACCCAGGGACAGGTAGAGAGAGGCCCCAGGATCTGAGTTAGGGCTACATTCCTTTTCCAAGCTTATCTTTGGGTTCCGCCCAATGTCAGGGCTGTGGTTACTCCCTGGGAGTGGCCGGGGTAACAGTATTCCATGAAGAGCTGCCCTTTCTTTCCAGCTGCGTCACTGCCGTCTCAGCTCTGTGCACAATTAGCCTCCCATACCTCACCCAATCCACGCCCATGGCCTGGATCCTGAGGAGGAAAAGTGGGTTATCTCCATACCCCCAACCTCCTCAGCTTCCCTGTATCAGTGACGTTCGGACTAGTGGGTAAGGAGCGAGTCAGTTTATCCTTCCACAAAGATTTCTCGCTCTCACCACTTGCCTCCCGCCCAGCCACCACCTAATATTCCCGGTCTCACAATGATGCTTTCTCTCAAATTCACACTGCACATATATTCATAATCTGGGTTGGAATGGGTCTTAAAATTATTATCTTTTAAACCAATCAATGATCCTTGATTTAAAAAATCAGAAGTGTTTTTCTTTTTTCAGATATAAGCTAAAACTATGTTAAATATTAAGCTAATTTAATATTAAAGGGCTAAAGTAACAGTCAACTTCTTTCCTTTCCACCTAAGAGCTCTAACCCACCAGCCGCTCCTCGGAAACCCTACAGGCAAATAGTCTGTAAATTCCTCCAAAGGTGAGAGAATTAACCATGTTGTTGTAACAACAATGGGCAATCCCCATTTAGCTGTCCTACAAGGTCGCTACGAGTTGGAATCCACTCGATGGCAATGGGTTTGGCTTCTCCTTTCCACTTCCTAAAAAACTATAAAGGTTCAATTTGACTCAGAAGTACACGGTTCACCAATGCTGTGTTTTATTTTACGGAGAAGCCTTAATAGCTAATTCTTTTATGTACATTCTCAGACCTAAGATAAGCAGCCATTCCAGTTTATGGATAAGAACTTTTTTCTGCTCCTAAGTCTTTACCCAACTTCTGGCTGGCCAGGAATCGCTACGCCCTAACCAGCCTACAAATGTGGGGTCAAGTTTCCAGATAAGGCATAGGAATGCTCAGGATTATATTTGACTGAGTAATTGGACCCAAAGCTACATTAGTTCTTACTGACAGGTAGGAATGCTGGGCCCCGCTGGAAACACCAGAAACGCCCAAGGGGCTGTTTGGAACCTTCCCTGAGCCTTGAGAGGTGAATCTGGCTGGCTGGCCAGCCAGAAAGACTCCCTGGCATCGCCAGAGGCCATTAGCGGTCTACCAGCCCCTGCCAGGGGTTCCTCTGCTGCCGGGGACCCACAGTCCTGGCCCACTCTTTAGTTCTCCCTGGTCTCTTCTATAACAAAGCCCTAACCCTGAACAAACAGCTTCCAGACCAACAGAGACCAGTTCATGACAGGATATAGACACTGCTCCAAAACTGGAGGGTTTGCACCCAGCGACCATGGCAGTACTGATCTCGCCTGCTTGGCCTGGAAACCAGGGGGGCCAACTGGGTTGTCCTGACCTCGAGGGGCACTGTCTACAAGTCCAACAGTGAAGTGAGTCTTTCTCCTACACCGAGCCTGATTGGTTCCCTTACCAGACTAGGATTTGAGCATTTCCATCAGTCTGGAAACGTGGAAGGTGGTCCAACCATCAACACCCAAGAGAAGCAAGTATTGAGTGAGACCTCAGCTCATCACCAGCTAAGTGGGCATTGCCCACATGTCAGACAGCCTACACGGACCCCAGAATAGCATCTTGGATACAACAAATCTGAGGCTTAGAGGTTAGGATCCTCGAGGCAATAAGGATTGGGGCCAGGATTGAAGCTCATGTTCTTCCCGCCCCTCTAAGATGAGCCGTGGGGCAGCCTGAGCAATGGGAGGGTGTGGGAGTGCTGGAAAAACACATCTGCCATCCTCACGCACAACCCCTCCATACCTCCTGGCTGAGAGCTGCCCAGCATCGCTCCACCACCCTTTGGGTAACAGTGACCTGCATCCCACTCCCCCACCTCGCAGCCTATGGCAGTCAGGGGTGGTAAGTCTGTACTCCTCCACTCCCTTCCCAAGAGAAAAACATCTGACTCATGCCCAGCCAGTTGGAAAATCAAAGGCCCCTGGTCCCAGAGATTGAGTCAGGGATGAGTGCCAGATATACGGCAATCAGGCTCAGTCAGAGTCCATCAAGAAGAAGCCTTTCCTTTTCCCCAACTGGCCTTGAATCTGGGACATTTGAACCTGGGCAGGTGCAGCCATATAACTACCAGCAGGGGAGTCCAACCTAGAGGGACCCAGAGCTGAGAAACTGAATCTTGGTGATATCATTTGAGCCCTAGATCAAGCTAGGCCTGAAGCCATTCCTCTGGACTTCTTAGTTACTACAGGAACCAATGCATTCCCTTTTTTGCCTAGGCCATTTTTTTTTAATTGAGGTATAATTTCCATATTAAAAATACATACCCT